AAGCGTTTAATAATACTGGGTATACGGGATGAGTGGCCAGGAAAAATGCATAGCAGTTTGTCTCTTTTGCTTCCACGAGGTACTATGACACGGCATTTTAACTGACTGCCCGCAAGCCAGATCAGGCCTGCGGAGGTCTAGCAAGTGGCCCGCAGATCACTGCCAGTTGTATTGTGTGACCAGCGGATCACTGCCAGTTGTATTGTGTGACCCGCGGATCACTGCCAGTTGTATTGTGTGACCCGCGGATCACGGCCAGTTGTATTGTGTGACCCGCGGATCACTGCCAGTTGTATTGTGTGGCCCGCGGATCACTGCCAGTTGTATTGTGTGGCCCGCGGATCACTGCCAGTTGTATTGTGTGACCCGCGGATCCTTGCCAGTTGTATTGTGGGACCTGCGTATCACTGCCAGTTGTATTGTGTGGCCCGCGGATCACTGCCAGTTGTATTGTGTTATTTCCACGGTGGGGCTCTGGCTTCTGGTCTGTGGCGATACCCATTTTTTATCACTTTGTCCCCTCAGTACACTAAGGTGAATAGCACAGTACTATGATGTCATCACAGTATCTTGGCGACACACGATTCGTTTAGGTGTAGTGGTGTGGTCACATAATTAATAGTGATGGGCTGTTGTAGAAACTTTTATAACAATGACCTCAAATATATATTCCTCAATGGCGAGAGGGTCGACTTGGTAGTGCCAACTTTTATTCAATAAGACTCGATCCTTTTAATCAGAGGAGCTATCCTTGTATACAGCAACAAATTCCATTGTTCTACTGTCCGAACGTGAAGACACGAAAGTCACCAAAACAAAAACAGTACCAAGTCACGACAGTTATCAAAGTCAAGTCACGACAGTTAACAAAGTCAAGTCATGACAGTTATCAAAGTCAAGTCACGACAGTTATCAAAGTCAAGTCACGACAGTTATCAAAGTGAAGTCACGACAGTTATCAAAGTCAAGTCACGACAGTTATCAAAGTCAAGTCACGACAGTCGTCAATATCAAGTAAAGACAATCATCAATGTCAACCTAAGACAACTATCACAGTCAAGTCACGACAGTGGTCAATGTCAAGTCACGACAGTCGTCGTTGTCAACTAAAGACAATTATCAATGTCAACCGAAGACAATTATCAATGTCAAACTAAGACAGTTATCAATGTCAAGTCACGACAGTCGTCGGTGTCAAGTAAAGACAAGCATCAATGCCAACCTAAGACAATTATTAATGTCAAGTCACGACAGTCTTCAGTATCAAGTAAAGACAATCATCAGTGTCAACCTAAGACAATTATCAATGCCAAGTCACGACAGTCGTCGTTGTCAACTAAAGACAATTATCAATGTCAACCTAAGACAATTATCAATCAAGTCACGACAGTCTTCAGTATCAAGTAAAGACAATCATCAATGTCATCTAAGACAATTATCAATGCCAAGTCACGACAGTCGTCGTTGTCAACTAAAGACAATTATCAATGTCAACCTAAGACAATTATCAATCAAGTCACGACAGTCTTCAGTATCAAGTAAAGACAATCATCAATGTCAACCTAAGACAATTATAAATCAAGTCACGACAGTCTTCAGTATCAAGTAAAGACAATCATCAATGTCAACCTAAGACAATTATCAATGCCAAGTCACGAAAGTCTCAAGTATCAAGTAAAGACAATCATCAATGTCAACATATGACAATTATCAATGCCAAGTCACGACAGTCGTCGGTGTCAAGTAAAGACAATCATCAATGTCAGCCTAAGACAATTATCAATGTCAATCGAAGACAATTATCAATGTCAATTGAAGACAATTATTAATGTCAATCGAAGACAATTATCAATGTCAATCGAAGACAATTATCAATGTCAATCGAAGACAATTATTAATGTCAATCGAAGACAATTATCAATGCCAAGTCACGACAGTCGTCGGTGTCAAGTAAAGACAATCATCAATGTCAGCCTAAGACAATTATCAATGTCAATCGAAGACAATTATCAATGTCAATCGAAGACAATTATTAATGTCAACCTAAGACAGGTATCAATGTCAAGTCACGACAGTCGTCGGTGTCAAGTAAAGACAATCATCAATGTCAGCCTAAGACAATTATCAATGTCAATCGAAGACAATTATCAATGTCAATCGAAGACAATTATTAATGTCAATCGAAGACAATTATCAATGTCAAGTCACGACAGTCGTCGGTGTCAAGTAAAGACAATCATCAATGTTAGCCTAAGACAATTATCAATGTCACGTCACGACAGTCTTCAGTATCAAGTAAAGACAATTATCAATGTCAACCGAAGACAATTATCAATGTCAACCTAAGACAGGTATCAATGTCAAGTCACGACAGTCGTCGGTGTCAAGTAAAGACAATCATCAATGTCAACCTAAGACAATTATCAATGTCAAGTCACGACAGTCTTCAGTATCAGGTAAAGACAATCATCAATGTCAACCTAAGACAGTTATCAATGTCAAGTCACCACAGTCGTCGGTGTCAAGTAAAGACAATCATCAATGTCAACCTAAGACAATTATCAATCAAGTCACGACTGTCTTCAGTATCAAGTAAGGACAATCATGAATGACAACCTAAGACAATTATCAATGCCAAGTCACGACAGTCTTCAGTATCAAGTAAAAACAATCATCAATGTCAACCTAAGACAGTTTAATATCAAACCCCTACAGCAGTCGATGTCTAATAAAGACAGTCATCAATGTCAACCTAAGACAGTTATCAATGTCAAGTCACCACAGTCGTCGGTGTGGAGTAAAGACAATCAATCATCAATGTCAATCTAAAACAGTTATCAATGTCAAGTCACCACAGTCGTCGGTGTCAAGTAAAGACAATCAATCATCAATGTCAACCTAAGGCAGTAATCAATGTCAAATCAAGACAGTCGTCAGTGTCTAGTAAAGACAATCATCAATGTCAGCCTAAGACAGTTCTCAATGTCAAGTCACGACAAACATCAAAATCGGGTAATGACAATCATCAATGTCAAATCTCAAAGAAATTCACCACTTTGAGAAAACAGCAACACCTGCGCAACTGTGAATTACTGAATCATAAAGACATCTAAGGCCACATGTAAAAATTTTCGTTCTTTCGTTCAGGAGTTTGGGAGATATTAAAGTGTGACGGCATTAGTTTTCAAATGCACTAAAGAACCAGGCGTGAATACAAGGCCCGGTCCACATCACCAGCAATAGAATTAACAAATTCAGGAAAAAAACAAACAGCATACATGTATTGATCTAACGCAGTTGGTGATGAGATGAACACACATTCGATGCCAGTGTCGATACCCGAACAGAATGAACATCTAGCGTTGATCGGTGTCTGCTTGTAGCTCACAGTAGGTGCTTGTATTCTATCATCAGCTAGTGTTATTCTCAGCCTTTGTAATCTTTCATCAGCTAGTGTTATTCTCAGCCTTTGTAATCTTTCATCAGCTAGTGTTATTGTCAGCCTTTGTAATCTTTCATCAGCTAGTGTTATTCTCAGCCTTTGTAATCTTTTATCAGCCAGTAATATCGTCAGCCTTTGTCATCTTTCATCAGCTAGTGTTATTGTCACCTTTGTAATCTTTCATCAGCTAGTGTTATTGTCAACCTTCGTCATCTTTCCTCAGCTAGTGTTATCGTCAGCCTATGCCATCTTTCATCAGCTAGTGTTATCGTCAGCCTTTGTAATCTTTTATCAGCTAGTGTTATCGTCAAAATTTGTAATCTTTCATTAGCTAGTGTTATCGTCAGCCTTTGTAATCTTTTATCAGCTAGTGTTATCGTCAACCTTTGTAATCTTTCATCAGTTAGTGTTATCGTCAACCTTTGTAATCTTTCATCAGTTAGTGTTATCGTCAACCTTTGTAATCTTTCATCAGTTAGTGTTTTCGTCAACCTTTGTAATCTTTCATCAGCTAGTGTTATTGTCAACCTTTGTGATCTTTCATCAGCTAGTGTTTCTGGCAACCTTTGTTATCTTTCATCAGCTAGTGTTATTGTCAACCTTACCCAAAAGCATCATGGCAGGTTTTTCATAAGGTTGTTTTAAATTTGAGCTTGCTTAATCTTTTAAAAGAAGACAATGCATTTAAACAAGTTTTTGGTTTGAGCAAACCGATTTTACCTAACAGATCTCCCCATTCCCCCCTCCTCTCTCTTTCTGTCTTACACACATACATACAAACAAAACATTACACCTCCCTTCTCTTCTTTCGACAACCTCTCTCCTACACACACACACACACACACACACACGCACACACACACACACACGCACACACGCACACACACACACACGCACACACACACACACACACACACACACACACACACACACAAACACCATATAGTTTTTAAACCATGTACTCAAAAATTGTTTGTAACAAACTGCCTGTATAAAGTGTCCATGTCAGTGGAGTTAATAAAATTATGCCTTAAAGGGTGCTGGTGCTGGTACTGCCCACGGCAAGATAAAATCCCAGTGTGTAGATACAACTCCTCCCCGAGTGGGTTCCGTGGTCCCATTGTGGGGAAAACAAGAAGAGACCCACTGCCTTCGCAACAAGTATGGCGTAGGAGTCGAAGTAATTTGGGGTTTCTTGAGGACTGCACCTGCCTCAGAAGCAAGCAACCAACAACCTACATACACAAAAATCAGATATGCTGTTAAAAGGATATGCATGCAACACGCAGGTTGTACAGCCAGACTAAAGTCCAGAGGTCGAAGAACAACCTGAACTTTAAGCCGAAGTTTACAGTTGGTGAAGTCGAAGAAGTGGAAGAAGATATACTACTCCTAGACTACTGTCTTCAGTGGTTAGTCATTATGTTACTGCAATCCCTTAATGCTACACAAACATGTGAAGTACCAAGAGGTGGGGAGTACGACACACATAGGAAGAGAGTAGTTTGCTGCTGTAGCAGAGGACGGACAATATAACAAAGTTGGAGATCTGACTCACCGATAGATTTCTCTGGTCACAGTCCGAGGTGGCAGTCCGGAAAGTTGAAAAAGAGGTCTTGTTGGTTAGTTCCGAACTATCTACATCATCATCCTCGGCAAAGCTCATATCTTTCCGAATTTTCCTCTTCAACTTCTCGATTTCGTTCTCGTAACTGCCTCTTGCTGGCGACGTTCCTGGGGTGTTTGGGACAACTTGCTGTTTGTAAATGTTCTCCTCTTCAGACTTCACATTGGAGTGTTGCTTCCTCTCCCGATCTATCCTCCGGATAATGCAGATGGTGATGAGAACGGCAATAGCCAGGACTGAAGTAATGCAAATCAAGGCGATGACGATAGCAATATTAGCCCTACTCTCCTCCTCCTGTAGGTAACTGGCCGTGCCGTTAGCTGGCAAGATAATCACATTAATGTCCCTCAGAGATTCCAAATAGTGCTGACCGCTATCCCGAGCCAGAATCACCAGTCTGTAACTACCAGCATCATGCATATTCATGCGCCGGGCCACGACCAACTCGCCACTTACCGCGTTTATAAAGAACAAGTCCTTGTCGTTTCCTCGGATAATGCTAAATCTCACAGAACCGTTTTCTCCGGCGTCGACATCTTCGCATTCAACGCCAAGCAGAAGCTTGCCCGGGGGAAGGGTAAATATAAATTGAAATGTGTTGTTATAGTCTGTAGGGAATAGGATCTTTGGCGCGTTGTCGTTGTCATCGGTTACTGTGACTGTGACAATGGCTATATCGTAAAAGCTTGGCTCACTTTCATCGAACACCATCACCTCGAGGTTGTAACTGTCTCTCAGCTCCCGGTCCAGGGAACTTAGTGTATAAATGTTTCCAGTAATGGGATCAATTGCAAATGTATCAGAATATGTGACATTAGTGGAGAACTTATACCGCAGGTGGTTGTCGAGATCTGTATCTGGGTCTACGGCAGCCACGTGACCACACGACACGTGCATGGGCTTGTTCTCTTGAACACTCATTTCAAAATAAGGTTTGATAAATTGGGGCGGGTTGTCGTTGACGTCACCGATGAGGATGGTGACAGTCACTGAAGAAGAGATGGGAATGGAACCTTTGTCTTTGGCTACGACCACCAACTCGTATATTGCTTTCTCCTCGTGGTCTAAGACCTGCACGGCCTTGATGACTCCAGACAAGGGGTTGATCTGAAACTTGTTGTCTGGGTTTCGGCTGAGGCTGTAAGTGACGTTACCATTGTCTCCTTCATCGGGGTCAATCGCTTGGACCTGCGACACAAACTGACCAACGTGATTGTCCTCCCTGATGTTGGCTTGATAACGGCTTCTGGTAAAAACTGGAGCGTTGTCATTGATGTCCTGAACGTGAACGGTAAACGCCGAGGAATTGTACAAGGGTGGCTGACCTCCGTCGTGGCAAGAGATATTCACTAGCTCTGTGCGGGACTTTTCATAGTCTATATGGCTTCTCACCATCACCGTGTAAATAGAATCAGAGTCAGAGAACTTCTGTAGCATGAAGTGATCGTTAGTAATGCTGCAGGTGATCTGGGAGTTCTCACTGCTGTCGGCGTCCGACAAGGAGACATGGGCGATATAGTTACCCACGCCAACAGACTCTTTCACGTAGGGAGATGGAAGCGTGATATCAATTTGCGGAGCGTTGTCATTAACATCCTGTATCCAGATCTGAACCGAGGTCTGGGTAGATTTGGCCGGCGTTCCGTTGTCGGTGACTGTCACTGCGAACTTGAACGATTTATCTTTCTCGTAATCCAAGCTCTTCACAAGATAGATGTCCCCAGTGCTGTCGCTAATAGCCAGACAATCTGTGACTTTCGAGGATGTCAGCGAGCTGAAGGAATATGTTAGACGGGCATTCTCCCCTTCGTCTGCATCCTTGGCTTGCAGAGTCAATAGTGTGCTGCCAAGAAGTTTATCCTCAGGAACTACAGCATCGAATAAAGTTTTCAGGAACTGTGGAGCATTGTCGTTGACGTCCGTTACTTTTACGAAGATGTCAACTGAGCCGGACAGTCTTGGAAACCCGCCGTCCTCAGCGATCACCGTCAGCTGGTAAAATGCTCTCGTTTCTCTGTCCAACTTTTTCACGATTCTAATCCCAAAATCGGAGCTGCGTCCGCCAGAATTTGGGATGTTATGAATCTCAAAAACACCCATCCCATCCTTGAGACGGTATCTCTGGACGGTATTGTTAATTCCTGTATCCGCATCAATCGCCGCACTCATTGTCAGCACTTGACCAACCTCCATATTTTCCGGAACATCCAAGGTCGTCATGTTTGATGGGAATACCGGAGGGTTGTCATTGATATCTTCAATGACAATTTTAACTTTGATGATCCGCAGAAGAGTAAATCCCCCATCGCTGTTGACCCTGAAGACGCTAACGTCAAAGTTGAGAGAACAAGTGTCACCTTCATGAAACCGGTCACAGATCTTCTCACGGTCAATGATCTCGGCAGTCCGAATAGTCGACGTCTTGCCATCTATGTTCAACTTAGAAACAGTTGGGGGAATGCTGTACTGAAGCTTCTGGAACTCTGAGTGGCTGTATTGTGTAGAGATGTGACTGTCTCGGGCCACGTTGCCTACGAAAGTCCCTACCACTTGTTCTTCCCACATTTTATACGTCACTTCCTGTTGCTGTCCGAAGACTAATATGATCAGTAAGGTCACACATATCAGAACTGTAAACAGCATCATGATCTCCACCTACACGAGGCCTCCACACCGTTGCTTGGCCTCCGCTGCTCACAAATCTAAGATGGCTGTCAGACGCTGCTCGTCTCTAGTCAATTGTGACAAGCCAGCTCCAAGCGGTTACATCAGGCTTCCTGTGTTCTGACTAGTAACATTCTCTGTGTGTTTTCTGAAAGTGGGAAAACAAAACATGAACTTAAAACTACTGTAACTTGTAATACCAGATGATAGCAGAACTGAAAAAGAAGAGAGAGAGAGAGAGAGAGAGAGAGAGAGAGAGAGAGAGAGAGAGAGAGAGAGAGAGAGAGAGAGAGAGAGAGAGAGAGAGAGAGAGAGAGGGAGGGGGAACGATAAGAGAAAATAGAAATGGCCAAGGAAATAATTTCAAAGATTTGCGATCATTATTGACATCTAAACAACATATAGTAAGTGAGAATAGTCAAGTGTTAGGTATACTAAAAGCCCACAGTATAACCTAGAGGTCTGAACAATAAACAATTACTAATTCCATAGTTCCAGTGACCACACCCAGAGACAAAAAAAAAAAAAAAACTGCACTCGTGAACCGAACAACCCAGTCCGTGAAACAAACCCATACCGCTAGATAGCGAGGCAAACGTCTTTACAGAGAGCCTTATTCGTTATCGTCCTGATAAGGGCCTTATGTGGGCCGCTCATTGGCAGGACTGTTTGCTTGGGGTCGGAGTGACTGATGGCTGCCTCGGTGCTCGCACAGATGATCAGTGCAATGGCCAGAGGACAGGACAGCCAGCTTAATCCAGGAACAAGGGCGCTAAAACCTGCCTCGAACGTAGGTAACAAAGGAAACAAACTCAGATGTAATGGCACACCACAGAAGAACAGAACCAAAACACGATAGCAAAGGAACCGTCCTTGATTAATAGGTTTTCAGTGGGCTAAAAAAAAAAAAAGATGAAGCTTGAAATTTTTGTTTGATTTTATACGATATTTGTCAGTTTCTTAATCACAATCCCCATCCTCACCCTCTTTTACGTGCGGAACACTACAGACGGGCGTCCGATTTCGCTACCCAGAGACCATGGGAAATTACTGAATGTCCACGTGAAGAAAATCCCAGCTTTCACCTGGGCCTGAACCCTGGACTCCAGCACTCGAAGCGAACGCCATGCCTCGAGACCACGTAGCGCCCCTCATCTTTCAACTGTTCCCCAGTGTGCCATTGAAAAAGCAAAACCAGGCAAAAACTTATTAATTTGTTTGACAAACCACTTCCTGCCTGGTCCGGACTTCGTGTTACTGTCTGAACTTCAGGTTACTGTCTGAACATCAGGCTACTGTCTGGACTTCAGGTTACTATCTGGACTTCAGGTAACTGTCTGGAATTTAGGCTGCTGTCCAGACTTCAGGTTAGTGTCCGGACTTCAGACTATTGTCCGGACTTCAGGCTACTGTGTGGACTTCAGGCTACTACCGGACTTCAGGTTACTGTCTGGACTTCAGGCTACTGTCCGGACATCATGCTACTGTCCGGACATCAGGCTACTGTGTGGACTTCAGGCTACTACAGGACTTCAAGTTACTGTCTGGACTTTAGGCTACTTTCCAGACTTCAGACTACTGTCCGGACTTCAGGCTACTGTCCGGACTTCAGGTTACTGTCCGGACTTCAGGTTAGTCTCTGGACTTCAGGTTAGTCTCTGGACTTTAGGTTAGTTCGTAACTATCGGGAGCTCCATTGCTTTAAAACTTTGATATAGTTTAAAAAAAAAAAAAATACAACATAAAGGATGCTTGTTTAGATGTCGTCACCGTTTGCGCTGATCCCACAGTGTCTAACCTAAAGAATGTGTAAAATAAACTCTTGCTGACCGTCGGTGGTGACGAAACTGTGCAACGATGTAGGACAAAAACACAGCAGATGGCAGATTATTTTAAAGTAACCCAGCATTATAGTATTACGATAAATGTCTTTGCAATAATATTCTCTATATTGATCAATCTGTAGAATTAAATTCAATATAAATGAATTACTCAATTAAATTTTAATTCTAAGTGAACTCCCACAGCCTAAAGTGAAGTTACGTAACTGTGCCTTTGTGTTAAGACATTTCTGTTATCCGGTCTATACTGTTACGCGTTACAGCACTGGTCCAGACGGTGACGGTTAATCGAAGCTTATTGTAGTTTTACGGTGGAATTGGGTTTAGTCGTATTTGTATAAGTGGTGTTAATCCTGCAGAGTGCAATCATGGGAGGAGGGGGACAAAAAGTGGGGGGGGGGGGGGGGGGAAGGTGTAGGTAAGTAAAGCGTTTTCTGTAATCTAGATGTTTTGAAGAAAACAAAGATCAGATAACCATACCAGAAACATCACTAAGATGTAGTGACCCGACACCACACCCCCTCCCCCTTTTGCCCCTTTCCCTTCCAACAAGTTATGAGAGGGGGAAAAATCAGACTATTTTGTGAACATTGGAAAGTTACACGGAAAGACAAGGCTGCAACTGATGCACACTCTTAGAAAAAAAACAAACAGTGACGAGGCACCATCGTCTACGCCAGTGATTTCTAAAGTTTTCATACTGGCGGCTTTTTTTTTTTTTAAATTAAAATGTTTTCACGGCACCCTAACCTAAGTAAAAGTATGACTATTCGTATGTAAGAGAAAAAAAATGTAAAACTCGTCTATCTTCGAATATTTCGCAACGCCCCTGTGAAGAGGTCGCGGCTCCCAGGGGCGCTACGGCGCACAGTTTGGGAATCACTGGCATACGCCATTCGTATATGATACTTGATTACGATGAGTAATTTCACAGGAGACAATCAATTTCTGATAACTTATTTGTTTGTGTATTCATCCCAAACGCAAACACAGCGACAGCAGCTGGCTATTGACAGAAATCAGAAGCACAGTGAGGACTGGGGGAGCGAAGTCAGGTAGAATTGAGTCCAGACATTGGCAAAACAGGACGGCATTAATGGCATCATGGCGAACAGTTAAACAGGGGTGACTGTGTGTGTGTGTTTAATAGTGTGTGTATGTGTGTGAGTGAGTGCGAATGTCTGTGTGTGATGGAAGAGGAAGAATTGAATGTAGATGTGGTTGCTATTACACTATCAAAGAGTCGATAAGACAAGTTATAATATGTGACCTATCAATGAGTAGATAAGACAAGTTATAATATGGGACACTATCGAGAACCTTAGGACAGGACACAATCGACTTCACAGCCACATGTATACACAATTTAAGATTTACGAATCAGCCATGTGTACAAGTGGATTAGCACCTGAGAGAACAGATCACCTCCTCCATGTTGTCCCAAATACAACACATTAAGGCAAATCTTTTAGCTAAGACAAATATCGGTGCCAGTCTAACTTTACCGGTAGCTGACTGAATTACAAAAGACAGTATAGTTTATACTAGAGACATCATGCAGATAAAGATAATCTATTTCAAGCGAACGAAAGAAAAAGAAGAACAACTACTACTACAACCACTACTACAACCACTACTACAACCACTACTACAACCACTACTATAACCACTACTACTACCACAACTACTACTACCAGAACAACAACAACAACAACTACTACTACTACTACTACTACTACTACACTACTACTACTACTACACTACTACTACTACTACTACTATTACTACTACTATTACTACACTACTACTACTACTACTACTACTATTACTACTACTATTACTACTACTACTACACTACTACTACTACTACTACTACTACTACTACACTACTACTACTACTACACTACTACTACTACTACTACTACTACTACTACTACTATTACTACTACTACTACACTACTACTACTACTACACTACTACTACTACTACTACTACTACTACTATTACTACTACTACTACTACACTACTACTACTACTACTACTATTACTACTACTATTACTACTACTACTACACTACTACTACTACTACTACTACTACTACACTACTACTACTACTACACTACTACTACTACTACTACTACTACTACTACTACTATTACTACTACTACTACACTACTACTACTACTACTACTACTACACTACTACTACTACTACACTACTACTACTACTACTACTACTACTACTACTACTACTACTACTACTACTACTACACTACTACTACTACTACACTACTACTACTACTACTACTACTACACTACTACTACTACTACACTACTACTACTACTACTACTACTACTACTACTACTACTACACTACTACTACTACTACTACTACTACTACTACTACTACTACTACTACTACTACTACTACTACTACTACTACTACTACTACTGCTGCTGCTGCTGTTACTACTAATACTAATAATAATAATAATAATAATAATAATAATAATAATAATACATTTAATACTACCATTATAGTAATTACTATCACTGCCAACTCCACTGCTACTGTCACTACCAAGAACTGTTATCATGAACATGTGACACGATTCAGTTGCACAAGTGTCAGTGACATGAACATGTGACAAGAGTCAGTGATATGAACATGTGACATGAGTCAGTGACATGAACATGTGAGGCGAGTCAGTGATATGAACATGTGACAAGAGTCAGTGACATAAACATGTGACACGAGATAGTGACATGAGCACTGACATGAGTCACTGACATGGAGACTTCAGACGATCTTATGCCATGAACAGATGATACATGAGCCAGACGATCGACGCGGTTGACAGAAAACTGATATGAAACGACAGGAGCCGGTTTCTCTTCAGAAAGCTGGTGCGCTAGAGGTCATCAGTGATTTTTCACGACACCACCAGTAGGTGGCCAAAATATCACCAAGGATACATAGCTCTATGACTATTGATTGGCACACATACATTATATGACAAGAACTATGGAATGCAGCACTTCGAGTAATCGATTTGTTCTTTTTCGACTGCTGTCTAAAGATCCACCATGCCATTCTCAGATGACAAAATGTCAATCTGGATGGCAGACTATCATGGCATAT